AAAATTCACTATAGCTCTATAGCGAAGTTGAAGTTCAGGACATAAAATTCGTTATATCAAGGGTTGACTGTAGTTCTCGAAACATGAGTACTGGAAGTGAATGACCTGACTATGGTTTAATCCTTAATCATGTTTGCCTGTTTAGAGGAGAGGAGAAATCACCTAGCAACAACGAAGATCCAAAATCTGAACTTGGACGCAAACTTGTGTGGACTTACGATCCTGCCCCATATGTCTTGGGTAAAATCTTATGTTTGTTTCACAGATTACTGCCAATGGACCTCTGGTAACTAAACGTAATTTTGCTGTTGCAGGTTACTATGCCAATGGACCTCTTGTAACGTTCGTTGCCATTTGTCGACCTCCAGAGAGTCATGATATGCCAAACATCATTAACATTGTAAATTCAAACTTAGCGCTGAGGTGGGAACGTATCTTTCATCTGCGTAGAATAATCAATTTAAGCATAATCATCGAGCTGGTTCAGGAAGTGATTGGATTTCATGAAACGGCCGAGTTCATTCCTATTGTTAGGTGAGACAAGAATTTACTTTCCTTCAAAATACTTTATATTCTAATATCATTTTTTTTTCTTGCAGAGAGGGTCGTCAGATTATTGAGGTGTGTGGAAAAAATATTAAAAAGACCTACATTAGCCCTGATGCCCATGATCGTGTTGAAATGCTTGTTAATATTTATGGAAAACTGATGCAGAAAGGAGTACCGAATGTTGATCGTCTTGATCATGCTGACAAAGAAAAAGATGTAGTGTATCTTTCCCCAAAAGGAATGAGCTTAAATCCAAAAAATCAGCAGGAATTGCTTGATTCAATTACCTGTGTTCTTGAGATGCTTGTGGTAAGTATGTGGTGATTTCCAGATGAATGTTTGTTGAGCATTTCTCATTCTCATCCGTAATTTTTTCAGGTTTTGCATGATAATGAACCTATATACCATCAGGACATCCGGTGGCCTAATATTATTCAACTCCCTAATGCTCTTGATGTACCATCAAAATGGATAATTATTGATTGGAAAGACTCTGATGGATACCCAAATAATCTAGCAGACCACCTTACACAAGATGAACATGCTCCAGAAGTATTTCAACAAAACCACGGTGGAGAAGTTGACATCTGGAGTGTAGGCAAACTGATTATGGATGCAAATAGATGGATCATCGGTCTTTCACAAAGAATCACTCAATTTGGAAGGGATTTGCAAAGTGATGATAGACCATCTGCTAAGAAAGCTTTGAAACGATTTAAAAAGATAAAAAGGAAAATTTCTTAAAGAACAAAAGAAATAAATAGATATTTCATAAACTAGAAACGCATATTTCAGGTTTTGCTTAGCAAAAATGCAATACAAAATTAGTCTTGTGTAAAATTTTTTTTGTATATTTAAACTTCACGAAATGTAATATAATTTGCATAAAAATAAATCTATTGCGAAACATAATTTAGCATACAGTATGATTAAAAAATTAAAGAACTTTTATTATATATAAAATTGGTAGAGAAGCAAGCGAAATGGGAAGGATTACGCGGATTCTAGGCCATTTAGTACAAGTTCCAGCACCATATTATTTTTTTGCTCCTACATTTATTGTAAATTTCTACAGCTATCGCTAAATACTACAAACTACGAGGTTCTCTAACTTTCACACATTCAGGAAAAATAAACAGAAGTTAGCTTATCGAACATATATTCGCATTATTACATCATGGGTGCAATCGTGAAGAATCTTCACAATCAAAAATCACATAAGTATTCAGGTTAAAAATTCGGAACTAAGAATAAACGTTTCTCAGACTGAATGTTTTACTGAAGCCCTTTTTTTGTCAGCAGATCTATGTGTAATATATCACGTGGTAGTTATAAAAAAATTGACATTTAGTCCCGATCAGTGTGTATTAATTCCTCCGCTTCTCTTTCATATCCTCATCTTCATAAACAACAAATAAGGGCTTTGACAACTTGAACAATAGTCTCCTTTCACTAATATTTCAGGCGAAACTGCTTTGCTATTAGTGAAACGTTTCACTTTTTTAAAGTTTCATTTTGAAATCCGTTAGTTCCGAAATCTACCTAAATTCCGTAACTTCTGAAACTTGCCCAAATTTCTATACTAAATTTCATAATTCCGAAACCTTTGTAATTTCCAAACCTGTTAAAAAAATTTATAAAAAAAAAGTGCTTTTATAATTTATAACTATAACTAATAAATTTAGTTAATAATTTTATTGTAAATCATATTATATGCATTAAAAAACGAAGCTATATAAGTTTACATATTATTAAATATGTCATCGGCCTCAGCAACTGGATCCCATTCCTTCATATCGATCTCTTTGTCTTTTTCAACTACATTTTAAATAACTTGTTCTTTCTAGAGATCCTCTCCCAAACTATCCTCAATGATTTCGTCTAAACTATTAATAAATGCATCTGCATCTAAATTCAAAAACCTACTAATTGTTAAATCATCTTCCTCATCAAATGAATTTACTTCTGTATTATTTATTAACATTATTAATATCTTCTATGATTTCAATCAGATCTTCATCTGGATTTAAATACGCATTAACCAAAATTTAACAAATTTCATCGCTTGTTTTTTCTATACTATAGTGTGCATGATAATAAGCTGATAATTTGTACATATTTTCAACTTTATTTAACCCTAGCCGATTTCTCCTTTTACCATATAACTAGCCAAGATTAAACCAAATCCATTCACATCCAGCTGCATGTGGTGTAATTGAAAGTAGTTTAATTGCTAGTTGTACCAAATAATCCTCTTCTTCATGAAAATTATCTTCCATAGAAATTCACCAAGAAATAGGTAATTCAGTATTACCTAAATCAATATCAAATGGATTTTGATGGGTGCGAAATAATTTTTATTTGATGCATTAATTCACATTGTACACTATTTGATTTTTCCATATTTATAAAAATTTCATCTGCAGTCATTAATCCAACATTTAGTTTTTTTATGATGTAAAAATAAATAGGGATACTGGAATTCTTTATAGTAGTACTAACATGTCCGGTCATTCAGTTTTTTTTATGAGTTCTGATTCCTTCCTAACAGTAAAGACATTCTGCTAGGATTTGTGAACTGATAGGAAAATGGTAATAGTCTTTCCATTACATATGGCTTTAAATTCTTCTTTTATTAAAGGTTCCCATCCAGCTCGATATTGCTATTGAGTACCAAAAAATTACTAAAGATTTAGCATTTCCATTCTGATCCTTTTCTACAGGCATAACAGAAAATTCATCTGTGATAGTGGTTATATTTTCTCCAGAACTAATTGTTATGGGAACATTATTCATAGTGCCAATAGATATAGATTGACTTGCAATCCCATTAAGTCTATGAATTTTTTTCCTATTAATTTTAATACCTAAAAGCTCTTCGACAAGTTCAGCAATATTATCTGAAAATATAGAAGAATCAGAGCCTGTATCAACCATTGCACAAGGTATTATTAAACCTCTTATTTTGCAATAAATAGTCGCAACATCATCAGCATCCTTTATTTGTAAAAAATTTATCTCTAAGGGTTTGGGCCAATATATTTGGCTATTTTTTTTTCAGCTGAATGACGTTGTGTATATGCCTTAATAACATAGTTTAGAGTATTAGAACCCATTGGTATTAGCCGGGAGGCGCTTTGCATATCATTCATAAGGTCATCTGGCTTCGATTCTATTAGAACTTGAATAAGAGGTTTTTGCTTTATATTTGTGGCTTGGATTAGCGGATGTAAAATACCTATAATTTTATTTGTAACATGCTTCCATATATTTTCCCTTTCCTTAATAGTATCATCATTCATAGCCGTATTTAGAATCTGATCTTTCAATTTAAGGCATATTGTATTAATATATTGAGAGCCTTCCTTAAGAATTTCTTTAGAAATATATTGTATAACTGATAATAATATAGATTTTAAGGTTATTAGAAAAATATAATCTTCAATCATGGTTATAGGTGCTGTGGGTTTTGCTTTTTACGAGACTTGGTAATAGGGGATTCCTTCTTATAATTCTTTTTCATAGGTACTCCACTTTGCACTACTTTTTTTTTACAGCATAGCAGTTTCGGTCAGAGGTATTTAGAGTAGATTCATCATCATCAACATATTCGACATCTTCTTCTACTTCCTTCTCAACTATGTATTCTATTTCAGGCTCTTTGTGAACTTCCTTCTCAAGTATGTATTCTATTTCAGGCTCTTCGGAGTCTTCAACGGGTTCCCATGAGATTGGATCTTTCACAGCATTGTGGTATACATAATTAACCTTTTTAGTCTGCTTAACTCCAGAGCAATTACTCTTAATATGACCAGCCTTTCTACAGATTGAGCAAAGACGAATAAATCGTTTAACTGGTACTTTTTGTGTTACCTTTCTAACCACTTTTTTTGTAGCATTAACACTTCTAGGCTCTTTCTTACATGAGCTGTTCTGCTTCCAAATTTTTTTTGAAGATCATTATAGATAAATTATTCTAAAATTGCATCATCTGTTGCTATTCCTGTATATTGCAAATTCCTTGCAAGTCGAATTTTAAAATCATCTTTTTGTGAAATAGGAATAGGTATTACTGGTTGAAATTCTGGTTGATGTAGTATAGGTATTTGACCTGTACTCACACTTGGATTACGTTCTAATTACAAATCTTTTAATTGTGTAAAGAATGCATGTATATCACCAGGACCAGTTATTTTTATCTATGTAAAAAGATCACCTGATAAGTCACTTTTAAGAAATCCTAAAACTCATGCATCATTATCTGCAATACCTAATAATAAAGGTTGAATTCTTTTTCATATGTATCAGGTAAATCACTAGGTAAAAATTTTTCTTGAGTTAATCTCTGAAAGGCCACTTGTTGACTACTTATTATTTCACGCTGATATTTTACTCTCATCCATGCTCGTAAAATATCTGGAGAATTAATAGGATTAGCAGTATAGGGATCATTTGCTGGAACTGGTATATACTTTTCTTTCAACTTGGATTTTAAAAGACCTAATTTAATTGCATCATCAAAGTCTCCTACGTTAGCATTTTCAAGTGCTGTCATATTTGGCTCTAAATGCAATATAGAATTCCAAATTTTATCTAAGTAATCATCAGGAGATTCCTGTCCAGTATATTGTTCATGTTTAGCAAAAATTGTTGCTATTGTATTATATATCGGTTGACGTCTAGCTTCTGCCATATTTGGTGGGTTAATAAGCAGATTATTTTGTAGATTTAAAATAATTTGCCGGAAATTTATTTCTCAAGCTTTCCATTTTTGATATCGGTTAAATACCCAGACTCTATTGAATTCTGCTAAGTCAGCCTCAGCTTTATGTCTTCAATTTTTTAGTCGAAGGCTCACCTTTTCTTGCAATAATATATGGTTATGTCTTTCTGCTCTTTGAGTCTAAGCCACCATACACGACGCTCATTTGCTTCATTATTTAGAGCTTGTATTAGCATTTGATTATCATTCTGTGACCTAGCTCGGGCTTCTTGCAATTGTTACCCTAGAGTTCTAGCTCGTCGAACACTTTGTTCTACTATCATATTTCGATTTTGCCAAAATTGACGAATTGTGCCAGTATAAGTAATAATATTAGCCAAACATGTACCAACTCTATTAAATTGCTCTCTTATATCATCTGAAAGTATAACTCCTGCATTATCCTAATGTATCTGAATTCTTGCTAAAAAAGCTGAAGCCTCAAATCACCTATCTAAGATAGCTTGTATTGTATGCTTTATATCTAATATTTCTTTATTATTTGAAACTTTTTTATGACTTAGACCAGTTATTTCATAAATATGAGTCTTAAGCTGATCAACCTTATCTTCTAACCTCAAAATATGAATATTTTGTACAGTACTAGCATTACCTTTATATCATAAATCCTACAATGCTTTATAAATACGCTGTTTAAGTGATTTTATCTCAGTCTTAAGAGATGCTATCTCATCTTCATGAATTAAGATTGTAGAGTTTTATTGCAATATAGTTTTATAACATACATTTAGCTCTTTATTAAGAGTCTTAAGCTTTTTATTGGAAATATCATTTGAGACTATTTTATCTGCCAATTCTTTGCATAACTCTTTATTAGTATCAAGATTTCGATATAAGCCAGGTCCATGTCATTGATTCCTATTATACAAATAGATTCGAGTAAAGCTAGAAATTTAGATATATCTATTGATTTGCAGAAGATATATTATTAGCCTATTGGAGATCAGAGAAATGCTAAAAAATTGCTTGAAGCTTCTCTAAAAGCTGGATTTGATTTTACTTTAAATGAAGTGTGTGATTGGCTTGAGAGACAGGCTATACACCAGATACATAAGCCCCATCCTAGATATATTCCTCGAGCAAGTTTTTGCTCTATTACTACTCCTAATAAAGTTCACCAGGCAGATGTTCTCTATATGCCTTATGATAAAGTAGGTCAGGTTACCTATCTTTTTGTTTTAATATTGTAGACGTGGCTTTGAGATATAAAGTATCTATTTCTATTGGTGCATATAATATTAAGGATAGGCAGGAGATCTTAACTTCAAAGACTATTGCTAGAGCTCTTAAAGTGAAATATGATAATCCTGAGTATCCGCTTATTTGGCTGGAAACATTTTTGACAGATAAAGGTCTAGAATTAAGGGTGACTGTGAAAAATTAATGAGAAAGCATGGCATAAAAATTCAGAAGGCTAAAAATAAAAATACTATAGGTATTGTTGAAAAATTTAATAGAGACTTAACTAAAAATCTGTTTCTACCCTAGGATGCCTCTGATCTTTTAACTTTACACATGAATAAGATATCCCGGGTTTAGGTAAAGAATCACCCTATAGTTGTTAAATATATTAATGATTCTATTACATGTCAGCTTGGTATTTCTCTAACTGTGGCAATAAAAAAAAATAAAAAAAGAAGAGGTCTTTGCTAAGCCTTCTTATTCTCATGATGGACCTATAGGATTTGATGAAAAAAAGCTTTCCAGTAATATTTTTATAAGATATTTAATAGATACTCATGAGTTAGAGGGTGGGAGACGTCATGCTGGTGATTTAAATTGGTCTTCACATATTTATTATATCCGTCAATCTATGATACAAAAAAATCAACCGGTCCTATACTGACTGGAAGAAGTCCCCTTTGGGTTAATTGATGATGATAATTATGTGTTAAAATGTCCTAAAAGATCCTTTGTGACTGAAGAATTAATGATTATTCCTTATAATACAGAATTGCCTCTCCAGTTGGTGTTTACAAATTAAGAAAGTCTTCGATTTCTTCATCAATTTTGGCTTCTGTAACGAAATAATCCTTAGCTAATCTATAGTATAGCTTGTATAGTTTTATAATAGAATTAAGAATCTTTAAATCTTTTCCGTAATATAATTTGTAATTATCCATAATTTGATGATATTTATCTTTATTAGGGAATATGGTTTGGGCTAACTTTAACACATATTCTTTAGGGTCTTCTGCTTGGCGTAATTTCTTAATTCTTTCTTTATAATTTTGCATAAATTTACCATCCTTTGGCTTTCTATAATAGAGTCTTACCTTGATTACGTTTATTAATGCCTGTTCGACTTTCTGGGCGGTTGGCTTAGTATTAGTTAATTGAATTTGTGTACTCATTGAGAAAGAAAACTTTTATATAATATCTTTACAAAATTTTCTTTTTAATTAATTATTTCACTATATATCAAAATGATTGAAGAATATTCCTATTCATATTTGCACAATACTAGCAAGACTTGTGGTAGGCCCTGCATGCGTGAAGAAGAATATCATAAGTATTAGAAAACTAAGGTACGTGTACTATGTAGTATATGTGGCAAGCCTACTAGCTCATCTTCTAAATGGTATCCATCACATGTTAAAGATTATTATGTGATTCAATACTATAACAAATTACGTAATAAAGCCTTAAAAAACTCAGAATAGATATTAACTTTTGGTTAATTTTTTTGGATAGACTTTGCTATGCGATTTTTGGTTAGATTTTTTTTGATAAACTTGGTTATGTGAATTTTTTTTGGTTAGACTTTTTAACTTTGGTATGCATTTTAGGCTTGCATGATCAGGTCTAGCTCAAATTGCGTCACTTTGTTCCTTGATTTTTGATAGCCTTCTCTAGAAGCAAGTAGAATAGCATAAAAGTTATTATTCATATTAAGTTTGCAATGTCAGGCCCAGCTCAAATCACGTCACTTTGTTCCTTGATTTTCGATAGCTACTCCTAAGGCAAACAGAATAGTAAAAAATTTTTTAATATATTATTTGGGATTAAAATCAGGCTAGAATGGCTATATTAAACAATATAATTCTTGAAATTTGAAGGTTAATTCCAAGCTAAGTTTGATATCATCATCTAGAATTGAGTCAAAACGCATTAAATGATTGAATTTGATATTTTGATTCATATAGCTAAAATTGATTTGAAGGCGAACAGAAATCTTTCTGAGTATTATTTGGATTTTTGTTCCAGAACCTCCTTTTTAACATATATTCACCTATAGCACTAATTAGACTTAATATACAACTTGTGACAGCTGATACTGATGCTAATACCTTAGTGATTCCTAAGAATACAGTTTTCAATAAAGATTAGATACCAGCAGAAGGTAAGCCAACATCTAAAGTTGTATGTACATCAAATACAAATTTGGTAAATAGAATAGTTATATTAGCTAACATTTACTTTTAGGCAATTAATCGATTACTTTAAAGAAAATATACCACAATTAGGTAACAATATTAACAAGTATTATTTGGTATAACAGTGTAAGAAAGCAATTCTGTGGGTTCTTATTATACTAAACTCAAGAAGATTACAAGACATTCAAATATAGGAGATGATAAATTTTACTATAGATTTCTTGGAAGACTTTTTTCAGATAATTAAATAGAAGTTTATCGTATAATAAAATTCAACAAAATTTTTTCAATTATTAGTTTAATATTTATTATAATTATTAAATATAATGAATTTAAAGAAATTTAAATTATTTTTTATTTAACTGATTCAACTTATCCAACTGAACAAGAAGAAAACAATAATATATTTTTAAGTTTATTATATTTACAATTTCATAAAATAGAAGTTAATGAGTGTATTGATTTAAAAAGAATAAGTAAATTAATATCTCAATTATGATTTAATGAAATATGTGTAAATATGTAGGATTTTGAATTTAAAAGACATTTTAGATTAACTAGATCTACTTTTGAATGGTTATGTTGTGAAATAGTATCACTTTTAAGAAGAAATAGTAATAATCCAGAATCTAATATAATTGGACTTGCATGAGAATAAAAGATTAGTACATCTTTATAGTTTCTTATTACTGAGAAAGTTTTAGATCTATAGATAAAAAATTTGAAATAGGTAATTAACTATCAATTATGCATTAAGAAATTTTTTTAATGTAATAATTGAAAATTTTTTAGCAGAAAAAATTAGGTTTCTAAATACTAAATTAGAAATAAATGGATTTAAAAAGTTTGAAAGAATTTCTAATATAATTGACATTATTGATGGTAGTCATATATTAATTAAAACATCCTATTTATTTTCTGTTGATTATTTTAATAAAAAGAATTTTTATTCAATTGTTTTACAAGTAGTAATTGATCATAAAAAAATTTTTTTAGATATATGTATTGGTTGGCTAGGTTCTACACATAATAGTAGGACTTAGTAAATTCTAGTCTTTATAATAAATTTAATAGTCAAAATAATTTAACAATAATTTTTTTTAATAAATATATTTTATATATTTTAAATGATAGAAAGTATCCAAATCTTAGTTGATTAATGATTCTTTATAAAGATATTGGTAGAGTATTAACACAAAAATAAAAAAAAAATAAACATATTTTAATTTTAAACATTCAAAAATATGAATTAAAGTAGAACAAGTATTTGGTTTATTAAAAGGTAGATGAAGATATCTTCTTTGTAATTTAGAGGTCTCATATGAAATAGTTTTATATATTGTAACTGTTTATTATATACTTCATAATATTTATGAAGGAAGACATAAATTTTTATACCAGAAGAGCAATATCATGATGCAGAAACTGATTTAAGTAGTCAAATAAATATTAATTATGAAACATTAGAAAAAAATATGATTAGAGATGTTATAGGTGATGTTTTATAGAATGATCTTCAAAGAAGACATCAATAAATACTATAAATTAGGAATAGGTATTTAAAAATAACTTAAATATTATAAATAACTGTATTAATATATAATTTTAACTTAATAAAAATTTTTTTTTTTAAATATATTTAATTTTAATTTATTTATTTATTATAAATATAAAAGTCTTACATCATTTTATATTCTTCATTATCATTTTTATTATCTTTACATAATTAAATAATAAAAATTAAAATATAAAAATGATGTAAATAATAATGAAGAAGATAAATTATTTTTATAAATTAAAAGATTAGAATTAAATATAAAATAAATTAGAGTAAGTAAACACAAATATCATGTGATAATCATATGATTTATAATACAAATTCCTTATAAATCAAATTTAAATTTACCTTGATTATATGTTTTTTTATATAAAAAACGTATCAAACAATTAGTAAGATTATTCAATAGACCAAATAACATTTTATCATTATTATTTCATTTAAAGAAGTTGAGATTTTTCCTTTTGATTTTTTTTCATTTTCTTCTCTGATTTTATCAAGTTTCTTTTGTCTAATTTCTTGTTATTCAACCCATTTTTTGAATAGTATTTTTCAAATTATTTTTAACCTTTTTGGGTTTTTTCTTACTTTGATTATTCTTTTCATCTTTATTTTCATGTTTATTTTATTGTTTTCTACTAATTTTAGAAAGTACAATTGGATTTTCTTGATCATCATCATCAAAATCTTTTTTCTTGTAAAATTTGTAAAAGAATCAGTAAAAGAATCAATACAAAACAATGGGTTTAGTGTAGGTCTATCTTTATTTAAAATTGCTTTTTTATATTAAATGATAATTGGAGGTCTACCGGTTTGTTTTGATTTTACAAGTTATGTTTTAAATAAAATTTATAATTAGTAATTGTAAATAAATTTTTTAATAAAATTATTTAACACATTTATTTATAATTAAAAACCCTTATAATTATTTACAAAGTTCTTTCACTTGTTAGTAATTTAAACATTATTATAAAACTGTTCAAAATTATAAGTTAAAAGGAATGTCTCTGTCTCTTTCTAAATAAAATATTTTCTGGATTAGAAGTAGCTCTGCGTGTATATCTTAAACTTTCAAATTTTTCTTTTTGTTTATTAGAAAAGTCAATAATGCTTTAATGGTATTTTCACTCTATCTAATTCTTTTATTTCTATTTACTAGTTTTATTAGAAAAAAGTTTGGTAAAAAAAATTGTTGTATTTCATGTTTATGTTCAAAAAAAAGGAGGTTTGTATTTTAAAATTAAAAAAAAGCATAAAATTAAAATTAATAATTTTAATTACTACATTTTGAAATATATTTTATTAGAAAATTAATATATTTTAAAAAAAGACAGCAAAAAATTTGAGTTTTTAAAGGAAAATGGTTGCGATCAGTAGTAATAGGTAGTACATATATAGGTAGTACAATATTTTATTCAATTTTTGTTTCTAATCTTACTTTGTAAGTAAGATTGAAATTTTATATTTAATTTTGATCATGATCAGCTTGAGATTAAACTTAATCTCAATTATGTTCTTTGCAAAATGAGATTAACTATTAATCTCAATCTCAATCTCAATCACATATTTTATGAAAACACCTAACCTAATGTTGGTAATAGTTTTAGTTTTAATAATAAAAAGAAGATTATATATATATACTTAGAAAATATGAAAGGAATTCAAATATAAATATAAGTGGTTATCAGAACTTCACTTACTATTAATATAAATTACTTTTAAATTTAACATAAAATTTATATGTATAATTTTAAAAAAGTATTTTTATATAGTAGAATTAATATTAAAGTTAATTATAAGCTTAATAGTGATACATGACTAAACTCTTTTTTGAAAAATTGTAATTTCATCAAAAGTTTCGTCTCTTTAATATTTTTATATGAATAAATATAAAATTATTATATTTTTTAATGTATTTTAATTCAAGGAATTTAGATCAAGTTAAATATAATTTCAGCAATTAAGTAAAATAATTTTGTCATTAATAAAAACTAGTTTTGTCATTTCAGTTTTGTCAATTTCGTCATATTAAGAAAGTTAATTTCGTCAGGTATCACTAAAGCTTAGAATTCATATACTTAGAATTAATTAAAGGATATGCTAGAATGTTTTCCTATATAATATATTATTAGAATTTGTTTTAAATTTTTTTTTTGATTTTACTTATATTAATTATATTAAAAAAGTCAAAAATGTCTAACATAAACTTTATATAACCTTTTACATATTTATATTATTTTTTCTAATTCTTAAAATAATATTATTTTTTATTTTTTTTTTTATTATAATTAAAGTTATTAAACAAAACCTATTCCTTAGATTATAAGATTTTCAAATAAATTTGTCTACTTATTTACTATAAATTTTCTTTTGATTTACTTTTATAAATAATTAATATTTTTAAGAAATTTTTTTTTTTAAATTAATTATATTAAATATATAATATATTATAATAAGTTTTATCTTTTAATTATATAAGAAAAAAATTTAATGTTATTTAGAAGCTAAAAATTTATAATTTTTAAAAAAAATTTAATCTATAATAACTATATAATCATAATAAAATATTATAAAATTACTTATAAAGAAAAACTTATATTATTATAATTTTTATAATTTATTAAAAAAATTTATGATTTTAATTAATGATAAAGTGATTTAATTAATACTAAACATATAAATTTTTAAAGAATTTTTAAAAAATTATTATAATAAATTTTTTGAAACTTAATTTTAAATTAAATTATTTTAAAACCCTTTTAAAAAACTTAAAATCTTTGTTAATAAAGTTGATAAAAATATATTAAACTATAGTAATGATATTATTAAAATTAATATTTAATATTTTATAAAAAAATTAACACTTTTTAATTTTGTAAGCAAATTTGATTACTATATAGTCTAAGGGATAAGTTTAGCTAATTGTTTAAATAGCAAAGGTAAAACTTGATGAAACTATATTAAAACCTTAATAAAAAGGTATTGAAGCTAAAGGTTTAAATGTTTTCAAAATGAGTTTATATAGAAACCTTAATTATAATTCTTTTTTAATCTCTATTCATTTCATGAATTTTTAGTAATTATCTAATTTATAAACTATTTATTTATTCAAATTTGTATGTATCTATTTAGTCATTTAATCTATAATTAATCTATTTATTTTGCAATTTTCTTGTTCAAATAGATTTTTAGTTTATTATCTTTTGTACTAATATCTTATAATCTGTTTCTCATTCTCTATATTCTTTTATATTATATCATATTTTAGAAATTATTATTATTTTTTTTCTTCACATATATTCTTCATATATTTCTTTAGATTTCTTATATTTTTATTATTTCTTCTGTTTCTATTATTCCTGTTATTTCTTTTAACAATTCTTAAGCTTTAGTTTAATTTTTTTAATTATCTATTCTATATTTTATGTTTTTAGTAAATAATTTTCTTTAGATTTCTTTGATTTTTCTTTCTTATTTTTCTATTTTAATATTGTTGACTCTACATCATAAAAGGAGTCGGCAAAATATTTAATTTTTCATATGTAAATTTATGATGGCATTCACTATGTTCCAAATAGCTCTTTTAAAGGCTCTTAATAATTCCATTATATTTCTATATATGCTAAATAATTTATACAAAAGGCTGGTTTTTATTTAGACAAATCAGTTTATTTTTTTGCAGTTTTTAAAGTTGCCGAAACAAATTTAATTTATATATTCCTTTACAACCCTAATTAAATATTGATACTTCTAAATGAATTGCATAAAGAAGAGATTGAATTCGAAATATATTGGATGAACCAATCCTTTCAAAAAATTGCACTTTATTATAATTGGTTACTTAAATCTTTGAAATAAGAAGTGATAATAATTTTTAATATTAAATAATTGACAATGATGAATTCTTTCAAGCTGAATATTTTTTGTGCACCGGTCTTTTAAATCGATCCAGAAAATATTATTTTTGGACCGGACTGGATCGAATCCTACCATAATTTGATTTGATTTTTTTTTTTTTTGCGACAAAAATGTCAACGAACCTTTCTCTTCGTTTAGTTCTAAATGTTCGTTTAGTAATACCTTTTAGGACTGGTGTGCGATACTTTACAAAACAAACTCGACAAATAACTAATAGTAACGTAACTACTATGATAAACACAAACGGAAAACCAAGTCCAAAGTCTCCTAAACAAAAAAAACCTTCTTCAATAGGAGTAAAAGAGCCACCTAGAATTTTGCATAAAACGGAAGCGAAAACATGGTTAGAGAAGCTGAAGTATTCTTTTAGTATAGAGTCGAACGTTAAGACAAGAAAGTATTTGTATGTAGCATGTGGCAGATTCAATAATTTTTGAATTGGGTGCCTAATTTTTTTTTTTTTTTTTTTAGAGTAAAGAAATATCAAACATCCTATTGGCAAGATTTTAATGAGCTAAGGATCCAAGGTGAAAAGTTATGGGAGGCTAATCAGGAAATGATTAAAGCAAAGGTAATAATTTTAATTTACAGCACGTTTTGTCTACGACCATTTTAAGCCGAAGCGGAACCTTCATTTTTACCGAATCGCATTTATTTCATCGAAACATCTACGAGGTGTTAATAAGTCAATTAAATCTATATAATAAATCAATTCATTCTAGGTTTATTGATATCTATCAGGCATCGAAAAGGCGCACTTAACAGACCAAAACGTCTCAAACATGTAACTTTATTATTTCGTAAAGTACATGTGCCACATAGCGTAGTGGCGATTCCTGAAATGGAGATTTTGTGAAAAATGAAGTTCAGGTCGTCGGCAAAATATGATTTGTGTTTATCTGTTCTATTTGATTTGACGCGTCTTTTTTTACTTTTTTTTTAAAAAAAAAAAAAAATAGGAAGCATTATATATACCTAATATTAATGCTCGTTCTTTATTAAAGTCGAACATTGACACCGTGAATCTCTTAAAGGGCAATACAACTTTATTTGCGGTATACTTCAATCGATTTGGAGAAAATCATGTCAAAACTTATATAGAGCCTTTTCTTGCAGAATTCTCTAATAAACCAAAAATCCAACTAATGCAGGTATGCATTTTCTTAAAAGATAATTAATTCGAATTTTTTTTTACTAATACGATAATGATGATTACTATGAAAGGTAGTTGAACGTTGAGACAAATATCTTAAAGTCGTTGATTCTTAAATTATTCATTCCAAGCATTCGTAGAGCAATTCCTCAATCACTTCATGTATGTAACATAAAATTTTTGATTGATACGCACCACGCACCACACATATAATAATGTTATTAATAATCCTCCTTGTAACAGAAAACTTATCTCTTCCTCTTCCGAAATGATCAAACTTTACACGAAGCTTTGAATATACATAATACATATCGAGGGTATGTTTTTGTGATAGATGCTGATTGTAAAATAAGATGGTTTGCACACGGGGATGCTACCCAAAAAGAAATTGAGACATTGTTAAAGATAATCACGAATCTTGGTAATCTTGATGAATGAAAATAATTTGATATTTATAACTTATTCGAATATCAATGCATGGATGAACGAAAGTGAATGCGTTAACAACGATAAATAAAAAAAGAAAGGAATAAGAAATGTGAGTGTTATGAAAAAAAAATTGTATATTAAATTTATGATAGATTTTTTTTTTCTATATTGCAATTAAAAAAATTTAATAACGGTTTAATGCTCCTTTGATTTTATTGTTGTTTGCATTCGTCTAAATAAATGAAATTCAATCAATTAAATCTTTTAAAAACAAGGCATAATTACAAATTTAATAAATGATATCATATGATATTTACCTACCTTTCCATTTTTTCCTCCGGTCTATATTTAATAAAACAAAAAAAGAAAGGTCAAGACATTTTGAAGTAAATACGCAAGAAAGTAATGACATTTATTATTTACCTCGTCATCGTCATCGTCATCATCGTCATCATCGTCGTCATCATCATCGTCGTCGTCATCATCATCATCACCAACAAAGAAAGGATTCTCTTCAATTTCCTCATATTTCAAAGCTTTACCAGTATACCAATCTATAGCACGAGGAATAAGTTTTTCTTTTATATCCTCACCAATTTGATAATCCATTTCAAGTCGCTCATCTATATTATCATCCAAATCATCATTATCATCTTCCGGCTCAGTGGGCGGATCGAAGAATTGAAAGAATGATTCGGCGGGTACCGTGGTTTTTACTACACGAGTCTCTTTAGTACCTAAAATGATGTAATCGAAAGTTAATATAAAAAGAAAAATGATAAATTAAAAAAATTGCAACTTATGAAATTACCTTTACGCTTTTGCCTTTTCGTTTCCACTGTAACCGTAAGATTCTTTCCTTCTTTCCAATTAATTTGTGTACCTTCAGCATGATCATAAACGAAATCACCCCCATAACCTGGTTCCTCTTGATAATAATATGTCTTTGTCAAGAGGGTATTCGTAAAATATGGATTTTCTTCAAATTCAAAATCTAGTCGGAATCCAGGTTTTTCGAGATATGACATCCTTATATCGATCAAATGCTTTAATGCATCTTCATCACGATCAGTAATAATCTCTTCAATGGTAATTAAATTTTTCATTGAAGTAAGCCAGAACTCTGGAATACCTTTAACAGGTCCTTCAATGATTTCTTGTACTTTATTCTCCTCGTTAACCACATTTTCCTCCTCTTTTGTTTGATCTTCCTCATCAAGTTTGACTCCAGCCTGAACTTCCTCTTCAGTTGGTTCACGTACTCCACAAACTATCTTGTAGCGTGTTTCATACAAAGGTCTGTATAGTTCTAAATATTTTTTTTCCAATGCCAAGATCTCTTCTTGAAATTTTGCTTCCAACTTCGCATGTTCAGCTTGATAATATTTTAAACTATTGATTCGAGCTTTTACGTCTTCCGGTAAGTTTTCAATATATCCCGAAGACTTTCCTATTAACTGTCCAAGTTTTCCTTGTAAAAGAGAAACCAACTGAGGATTAGGCTGATCCATTTTTTTTTTTTTTAGGTAGCTGGGAAAAAAAATTTTTTTTTTTTTTTTTTTTGTATTAGAAGGATACATTTATATACATGCGTCTTCATTGCTTAAAATAGAAATCGTAATAAAATTATCACTGCGCCACGTTTATTAATCAGAAAACTAAGTGAAGCACACCTAAATCATCATTATTTTAATTATTTTAATGCAATATTAATTATATATTTGTGAAATTATTTTTTAAATATCAGATTCCTTCGATTTTTCTGTGAGGGTCCATAAACTTCCGCAAGAGTTCATCCGTTATTTGTGATTTTTTCTTTTTATTTTTTTTAAAAAAAAAATGAATAATAAAATACATAATAAAAAATTAAAATTTTCCATAAATAAGTCAAACATATATTGCTAACCTTTTGAAAATCACCAACGAAGTTCTGTAATACTTCAATGCAACGCGCTTTAAGTTCACCAGTCAACATTTCCCCGGATTTATATTTCTACAAAGTGGAAAACAATTAAAAAATCAATCATTGATTAAAAAATTTTAAAACAGTATTAGTACTTAGAAAACATGTAACCTCATAAATTAAAGCCAATTCTTCATCATCGTCCAAAAATACTGATAAATACTGATACGAAACGTCAACGTCTGGGTTACCTCCACACTCCCGATGAAGTTCAGCAGAAACACAACCACCTGAAAATGCATACTTATTAATCTAAGATATTCATACAACATAGTTAGCTAGATTGTTTGTGATTTTAGATATGAATCAATTTTCCAATTATAAAAACAAACCTTTTTTTTGATTTGATTGGGCGTATCCGACATAAAAATTGCAGAATTATCCACAGAGGCGCTCATTTTTGTTTGAGAACCCTAAATTTCGAAAAGATTGATAAACAAGACTATATTAAATGTTGTATCTAAATTATGAAACTTCACCAAAATTTACTTGGAGCGACGGAAAGAATTTAGCATGAAGAAGACTAGGTTTAGGATATTTCAACTTATGTGCTACATCACGCGTTAACCGAAAATATGGATCCTAAAATGAATCGTCATTAATTTATTAAAGAAATTTAATTTATATCAAAAATAAATTTATCTAAATAAAAGGGTAACCTTACTTGATCTATAGCACAAGGAATCACACAAGGAATATCACTTCGAGTTCCAAATATTTGCGGAAAACTATTGGAAAACGAAGGTGCCGATTGTATGGCAACAAAATGACTCTTGCCGATACAATCACTATTATATTATTGATTTAATAAATATAATACAAGAATAAAATTAATAAATGTGTCAAAAAAAGAATTATTAGTTTTTTTTTTTTAAAAAAAAGCACACCTATCACTGAAACCAAAAGTAGACTTTGACGTATTATAGGTGATACATTTCGCGATCCTTACAACATTATGATAGAATGGACCTCTAATTATATTAGAAGTAAATAGATCAATAGCTGAAGTAAGTGATAAAGAAAAGGACACTTAAATTTAATTCAAAATCAATAAAAATGCTTACAAACCCGACATAATCAGTATTTGAGAAAATAAATGTCTTGTCTATATCAAAACCACATGCAATAATGTCTTTGGCATTTTCATAGGCGAACTGACGCGCATTTTCCAATTTTAATTCGGATTTGAAAATAAATTTTTCGTCATCTAAAAATATAGATATTTTAATTACGCGTATTAATTGATCTTTTAATAACAAGAATCAAATCAATTACAAACCGGTTAACTGAATGACAATTGGTACATTGAAAACTTCTTGCAACCATCTAATATAAAGAAGGACTTGTTAATTCAGGATTATTTTTTTTAGATAAAAAAAAAGGTTTCTTTAATTCTTACTTGCAAAAAACAAACGGAACCATATGACCGAGATGCATACTCGAACTACTCGGACCGCGTCCTGTATAAATGAAAAAAGGTTTTCTCTGCTCATAACGATCCAAAATTCCCGAAAATTCTCTGTAAATTCAAATAATATTATAAAAATGTGCTGATATAACACGCTTCATTATACTGCAGACATATTACCTATGTGAGAAGAAAATTCCTCTTCTTAAGAGTATGTGAGGCTCTTTTCCGGTTAACTTTTGGAACCTTTGTAAAAGTGCGTTGTTAATGAGCTCTGTTCCAAATTTTTCTATTAGCTTATTATAATCAATTGCTTGAACTTGGCCATCGATAATAGCACCTTCCACTTCCCAAGGTGTAATTTTTTGTTCACGAATATTCGAGTCGCTATTATTATAACAATAAATTATCCTAAAATAATTATCAAAATAAATTCACAATACATTTAACCTAATTTATACCTAGGACTGTCTTGCTATTTATTGACCAAAGTAAATAATAGATAGTTAAATTTAAATTCTTTTAAAATTCTCGAGCAAGTACATTTGATAATTATACCTTGTTAGCTGTTTCCGACTTAACATACGAGTACAGTAGAAAACAACATACGCCAAATCTACATACAAAATTAATTTTTGCCATAGAATCAGACATGGTGCTTTAGTAATGAAAAAGGAAGCTTTTTTTTTTTTAAAAAAAAAATTATTTTTATTATTAAAGATCGATCTTTAAATAAAAATGATCTTGTTAATCCATTACCCAAAATTTCATCCAATCATTATAAAAATTTGACAGAAAATCCCAACAAAAATCTTTGTCAGTACAAGGTTAGGTTAGGAAATCAATTTATTAGTAAATACCTTTGATGTGTTACATATGTCGTGTTTATATATATACAAATAGTAAAGAAATTGTCTACAAATTTAAATACAAACAAGACAATTTGAAAAACAAAATGGAATTGCAACAAAAAAAAAAGAAAACGAATGTTTTCACTTTAAAAAATCCTAAATTATCAGATGATAGAACTTTTAGTTGATGAAAAATCTCGAAAAGATGCTATACATTACTTAGCCTAATAAGGAATGCGCGGGAAAATATATATCACGTGTGTACGGTAATATTTGCAGATCCATAAATTTATATTTGTATATAAACCCCACTAACCTTTTTTTTTGTTCGAAAAAAAGTGCGTAATGACTGATATTTTATTAATATGCTAGAGTTTTCGATCACAAAGATATTAAATACTTTGCTGCTAGAAAATGATACTTCTGATGCTGGAGGTCGTGGCGGGTCTTCAGAAACCTTTCATAATCCCGCTTCGGTACGAGCTGCAGCAGCTGTTCTTGCCCTTTTAGCCACAGCGTTATCAATATTCTCAGTTTGGTCTCACCTCAAGCATTATAGAAAACCGGTACGTTCTTTTCAATCAATTTAGTAAAAAAAAAAAAAATATCATCATATAATTTTATCAAAAAATTTCATAAGTTCTCAACTTTTGGAGCTTTAGGTGAAGTGGACGAAAAACGATTACCTACTTTGAACTTTTTCTTTTTCTGTAGTTCCTAGCTGTGTAATATTTTTTATACTTATTTGTACTTCTTAATAATTTAATAGTCCCTACAAAGATATGTAGTGAGAATAATTATAATGTAAGTTATTAGGTTCGTTCTTCAATGTATTTTCTATGTCATTTATATTGTAAATTGATGTATCGTTCATATGAAGGGTGCCGATTTACTCAATATCATCGTATATAAGTTTGGCATCAACTAATGCAGCATTATACGTTGACGGTATAAGAGATATGTATGAGGTAATTAATAAAATTATCTTAAAATTTCAAACAAACAGAAATTTACTTAAATTCAATTTTAAATTGATTGGTTCAGGCATTTGTAATTTATTGTTTTTTCAACTTACTTGTGAATTACTTGGATGGTGAAAGATCATTGTTGATCTTATTACATGGACGCCCCCCAACGCCTCATCTTTTCCCTATCAATATATTTGTAAAGAATATGGATATTGGAGATCCTTACGCTTTCTTGTTTGTTAAGCGTGGGATTATTCAATATGTTTATTTGAAACCGATACTGACAGTTATCACAATGATATTAAAGTGGAATGAAACTTACGAAGACGGTCATATCGAATTTAAAGATGGATACATATGGATTAATTTGATATATAATGTTAGCTGCTCGTTATGTTTTTACTGTTTAATCATTTTCTATGTTTGTACAAAGGAAGACTTGATGCCATATCGGTAAGCTTTTCAGAATTTTTTAATATATTATATTTAACTAACGGATTATTAATATTATTTGTCATTATTTATATTATTTATATTATAATAGACCTATGCCAAAATTCCTATGTGTAAAAGCAGTTATTTTCTTTTCGTTTTGGCAAGGCTTCACACTTTCAATACTGGTATCTTTAGGAATTATTCATAGTAGGTTTTTTGAAAGTTTTGAATATTAAACAACTTTCCATTGTTTAATATTACATTGTTATAATTTTTAGCTGACAAGGGATCGGAAGAGACAGAGAGTTTATCGGTTTCAATTCAGGATTTCTTAATTACAATTGAAATGGTGTTTGCATCTTTGGCTCATTATTACGCATTTTCTTATAAAGATTATATTGATTCAAGCGTCCGATCAGGTCGTATGCCAATTAAATATGCATTCAAAGATTGCATGGGCTTTAGAGATGTAATTGAAGATACTTTACAAACAATACGAGGTTCACGATTTACTTATCGAACTTTTGAACCTGCTGAAGGCATAGCGCATATCGGGCCTAGCCGGACTGCAAGGATTATGGCCGGTCTAAGATTTACGGGCGGTGGTGCTGGAAAATATTGGCTTCCCGGACCTAATCAACGAACGACACTGTTATCAGGACGGAGCGACGATGATAAAAGGAGTCTAAATTTTCCTGATCCAGATACGGATGATGAGATTGAGGCAATGTATGATCATAGCAGGAAAATAGGAAAATTTGGAGACTACAATTTCCCAGTAATATATTCGAATGATTATTCTAATCGACCAGTAAAACCAAAAAGAAAGCGTACCATGTCTAAAAGGAAACGAAAGGGCAAGGGCAGGGCTCAAGATATTTTTGATGCAGAAGATAAATCAGAGGAGGATGTTGAAAGTGGATTAAGTATAAAGTCCGAAAGAAAAGAACGACAATTAAGCGATCTTCCACCATTCAGAGAAGGATGTGTTGATCTCGTTAAAGAAGTTCCTGATGGACATGGAAAGCGCTATGAGAGTTATGCTAATAGGATAGGAACCTCGCTTCCCGCTTCGTCATCAAAACCTTTAATAACACAGCCATATGTATCTGCATCAATGAGAGATCCATTTATCCAAATGCCAACTTCTTATAATAATACTGCACTCCAAATTAAAGGAATTACTGCACATGAGGAATCTGAATCAGATGATGATGAAAATTATGACCCTCTTCGTGCAAATCGTGAAAATTATCTTAGCACGTCAATAAAATCATTGGAGAAGAATATTTGGAGTGATGATATCTGGAAATAATTATCCAAGTCATCATTTAGTAAAATCTGTTTTTTTTTTTCAAAGTAATTCAATTGGCTCTTAAATTTCAAGAAATTTTATCATTACGACAAAAACTATTTTTCTTTTTCTTTTTTTTTTTATTTCTTTTATTTCTTATAGCATGCTATATGTTAATATTTTATTTGAATGAACCTTTTTCTTTTTCTTGTTCCTATTAAAAAAATATATATATATATAAATTTTTATAATGTTAAATAATAGGACGAGTGTCCTTTTTCTCCAACCAAATCTTTATTCTTTATACATATCTGTTTTTATTTATTATTATATATATATTTATATAATTGTTTTATTTTTTATCAATTCAACATAATGTAATATTTAAACATTTTTCTTTATTTGAACATAATAAATATAAATTAAATCTCAAAAAAATAGTCAATGTCAAATGTTTAATTACATAAAAAAAAAAAAAAAAAAAAACTAAAAGTACAAAATATTAAAAAAAGCTATTTCTAAATTTTTTCTTCTGATGAATTGTTTCTTTTTTTATATCAAGGAAAGAAATTCACATCTATATGTATCTACAGAAATAAATAATATACAAAATAATCATCACTTCAAGTGAGGAAAAAAAAAATTATTTTTTCAAATTTACTTTTTTTTTTTTAAAAAAAAAACAAAAATATTCATAAATTCCAGAAGAAAAATGCAAAAAAAAACAACAAAAATGAAATAAAAAGTTGTTTAATTCTTTTTTTTTTAAAAAAAAAAAAAAAAAAATACTATACAATTATAATGCAAGTTCATTTTCAAAGAGAGCTTTCAACGGAAGGATCATATGGATGTCTAACAAGCAAATCGTATAATTTATCAGGAATCTGTTGAACAAGTCGTACCGTCAAATTTATAACAGGTTTGGCATCTAATTCTGGCATAGTTCTCAAAAGTTTCATCGGACTAAAATAATCATTATATATTTAGTATTAATCGAAATAAAAACTTGACAATAAAACAAATATAAATTATATACCTCGGCGCTTCCAATAATTGATCCCTCATCAAAATAAGCTGTGCAATAACGCATAAAATATTCAAATGAATTCCATAAGCAAGCAAGAAATCCCATAATTTTAATACTTGTTCGAGAGGTGGAGTACAGGCGCAAAGTGTAAGTACAGCTAAGACATAAAAAAAAAGAAAGATAATAAATTAGTATAGAATATGTGTGAATTAAGAGAGATGAGAGAGAATCGTTACTAACATGATAATGCATATATTTCCGCAGTAAGGTTCTTGGATTTCAAATGATTAAATAATGTAGGATCGAGAATTTGGAGACAATGATCCAAAAGCTATAAAATATACATAAATACATAAAAATTAAACATATTGGTTAATCTCACTGTTTTTATATTTAAAGAGAAGATAAAGAAACATTTACCTTTAATCCACAATGAACTCCTTGTAAAGTAGGGGTTACATATAAAGGGCAGCAAGTCTGAATAAATGTTGCAAAAGAAAAGAACGCGTCGATTTCTGACATGGTAAATAAGAATGGGGCAGCAAGTACATTCATTCCTTGAACGTAAGTAATTTGTTGATTTCCATTTGTTGAAAAGCAGTTCATCTTCCATACAAGAGCATTTAAAACGCGAATCAACATGTCTTCATTAACTCGTTTTAAAAATTTCTCATCAGTGGCTAATGTCCTGAAAGTATCATTACGGATTTTATCATACACGCAAGATTCCTTCTTTTGTATAAGTTGAACATATTCATGAGCGGATACGTGATAGACTCCAAGAAAGTGTTTCCATACCCTTGAACGAAGAGACGTTGGTCTTATTAGATTTTGAACCGAAGGATCCAATTTTGGTAGGTTCTATCGGATAAATTTTATATACATCATCAGTAAAATAATTGGTGTATTAAATGAATTTCTTTACGCGCATATATAATACCTTTTCAGGCGCATTTATACATATTATAATTTTAAAAATTAAAAATTAAAAGTGTAAATACCTCATCAGGTAATCCATAATCAAGAATCATTCTTCTCAATTTAGACAAAGATGCCTTAACTTCTCTCTCAGTTCTATGTGTAGTACTTAATATTTCATCAAAAGTATTTGCTTGTTTAACATTTTGTGGGGAAATAGATTTTTTTAACGAAGTAGAGCTTAAAGCGGGAGTTATTATATTATTTTTTGTCCAATTAATAGAACGTTGACGAAAGTTAGAAGAAGGTTGTGTTTTTGATGATTTTATCATACATTTGTCTTCAGATGCTGTCACAAGAGGTTTACTAGGAGTATCTTTCACAGAGATGTTTTCTTCGGATTTCATTTTCATTGTTGTAAGGTTCGTATTCGAACGTTTAAACATTTTTTGCTGTTGAGTGGGAGTTGATAAATTTGTAGGTTTTTCATGTAAAGCGCCACCGTATGGTGATAAGCAATGTGTTGAGGAAAATAAAGCTGGAGCCATATTATGATATATTTTTTTTTTAATTAATTGAATTCTAATACAAATAAAGTTTTAAAAGGTTTTTTAAATTTTATTTTTATTTTTATTTTTTATCGGCTAGGGTTATCTAGTATAGCTCTTTTTTTTTTTTTTTTTATAAAGGGAAGATGTTATGTTCTACTTTATCTTTTTTCATAATATAAAAAAAAGAAAAAAATTTTTTTTTTTCGTTGTTTGGTAATTGAAATAATAGAAATTGGATTTCAAATTATGCAGGATGTGAGAACAAGCTAAACTGCATGAGTTTCTTAATTCTAAATATAGGTGATGCAAGAAAAAATTAAAAATATATCTTTCGAAAGAATTAAAAGTTTAATGGTTTTTACAATGATAAAATAAGGAGGGAAAATTTGAAAGAGAGAACAAATAAAAAAAATAAAAAAAAAATTGATTTTCGGTGTGATTTTAAAATGAAACAAATATTTAGAAGAATCTTGTTTATCAATGAGGGAACGTGCGACAGAATCCTAAAACCTCACACCCCTATTTGAAAATGTATAATATACAATATTAAAGGCGGGAAATTTTTTTTTCATCGCCCATTGTCCTCATTTAGTTCATTTAATTCAAATTATTACAAGTTTTCTAACCCATAAAATGCTGGCGAAAAAAAAATACATCAAATGATCAAAATAAAAATATTTTTGTTGTTAAATAATAAATACACCATAATTTAATTTTGCTAAAACTTGATAAGATTTACCTTAGAATCGGTTACCCTTCCAATTCTATGGTTTCAAAAAAAACCATAACCACATGTACTCGTAATTCCTGCTTCATATTCTGGGAACTGCAAAAAATTAACCATTTAAAGTAAATCAATCTTACTCCCAGTTTTTTTATCAAATAATCAATATGTTAAAGTTCTGTTCTATAAATCTATAAATAGAACTTTTCAACGGAAAATTCTTGTTATATATTTATTGTATTTTTAATAATTTAGTAAATAATCAAATAATAGATTAGTTTTAAATTTTTTTGGGTCTGATTATATTATTTTAATTGGAAAATTCGGTAGTTTGAATTTTTTTTGAAAAAAAAAAAAGATATTATATTTATATTATAAATATTTATCACCAACAGAATATCTATTAATCTAAAAAATTTTTTTACCTCTATAATTTGAAAAACGAATTAGGCACAATCAAACGTGAGAAAAAAACCAACCCGTTCACCCACTGTTAAAAATTTGATAATTGTAATAACATTGAAATTATTAATATAAATTAGTCTATCGTCGAACTATAAAACAAGTTTAAAACAAGAACTGAAACCCGTCAGCTGGCTGTTTTGAAATACTTTGTTTAGAAAAGATCGGATTTCCTAATTAGATAATGCAAAAGATTAAGCAAAGTTTGAAGAAAATCTACGAATCCGAAAAAAAATTGTTTTACATTATTTTTTATACCTTGGCCGACCAGGACGACGTCCAGCGTTCGATGGAACTCGATTAGACATGTGATTTCCGAGTTGTATGATATCTTTAGTGATAATTTCACTGTTGTGTATCGAGGCAATGGGTTTAAACTGATTATTACTGTTTACTTTGTGCTGACTAACTGTCGTAGCGTCTTCACTGCGGATAAACGTTATTGCATCATCGTAAAATAGATAATTTTATTGGCTGAGTTTTGGTTTAGATAAATCATCTTTGTACTCAGAAAAGGAAAAGAGAACAATGCTTCTAACTCACGCTTCAGCGTCCTGTTCGGTATATCCTGCAAAATATCTTTTCGTATTATGGCTAACATGGTACATGCGTGTAGTCGGATCATAATATGGACCTCGCTGTTTTCTTGCCCATATTAACAAACTATTCCTATAATAATGATTCCGTTACCCCGCAAAAGCCAAAGAGTTTACAAAGAAGGACGGAAAAAAAATTCGAATTTTCCGATTATTAAGATTATTTTATTTTGTAAGGTTACATAATAAAAAAAGTTAACCTTACCAGTCTTATTATTATTAACCAAAAGGAGTACAACCCAAAAAAAAATAAAAGTCAGGAGACAATAATTATTAAATTTTATTTTAATTTTTAAAAAAAAAAATGAATACCAGTCGTCGCTTGAATTGCGGCCTTCCTTTTGAGATCTTTTTTGTTTTCTGGTTTTTTATTTATGTATATATATTAAGGATGTACCGGTTAGGAAAAAGATGAGCCACTCACCCTAACAATAACACAGCCAAAAAAAAAAAAAAATTACCTTGAGCAATAATTTTTGCTAAATTTAAACTTGTGTTTGTAGTTGAACTGTTTGACTTTGACGTATTGTTAGTTTGCTTTGCTGATAACGTTTCCACATTAGTTATTGTATTGGTTGTCATATTGGCGCGCTTTTTTTGTGTGAATAAAAAAAAAAAAAAAAGATAATTATAAAGTTTTTTTTTTCGTTTAGCTCCAGTTTCTGGTTTGTTTACTTATGGAGTGAGAAGACAATCTGATATTGGAGATGATTACATCCTTGCAGTATATTTTCTCCAAATAAAGTCTAATAGGTTACACCACGATGATCGTCGGTGGAATTTGAATCAACATAACTTCCATAAAATTCTACATATCGATTATTTTTTTTTTTGTTAGGATTCCCCGAACATTTAGAACTTGCATTAACTGCGTGACGAATTTTCGTATCTTTGCTTCGCAAGTAAGCCAATTTTTTAAAGTAGAAATGTCTTCTACACAAGATACTAATTTAGGCCTTTCAGAATCTCAAGTGGAATTGTATACTGAAGAAACCACTGAAAAAACTAACGACATCTCTACGAAAGTTGATCAAGAGGTGGTAATCAATTCAAGTGAAGAGAAGCCAGACGTTAAAGACATTGAAACTAAAATAACTGGTGAGGTACAAGAACAGCAAGAAGAAATCGCTGTTGAACAAAAAAAGGATGCTGAAAGTGATTCAGCTTTAAAGGAATCGAATCAAGAAGAGTTGAACAAAGTAGATTCAACTACCATAAATGTGAATGCAAATGAAACGGAAAAAGTTTCAAAAGAAAATGAAGATCAAGCTACATTATCAGGATGGAGTGCAGTTTGGGATGATAACGCTCAAGCATATTATTATTGGAACACCATCACCAATGAAACCACCTGGGAAAATCCAAGTAATATCAGTAATAATACCGATTTAACAGCTCAAACTAGTAACTCTGAATACTCCGAACAAGATTATTATCAATATTATTACTCTCAATATGGTTATGATCCTGAAGCGTATTATTATGGATATGATGGTTCCACCTTAACTGCTTCTTCAGATATGGCAAACACTGCCGTGGCATCTACGGAACCTCCTATAAATCCTTTGGATACCCTTCTTGATAAGATTGACAAAGAAGTTAAATCTAAACTTGATAAAAAATCTTCAAAAACAAAATCATCACCTATTTCTGATTCTCAATATAATTCTAATGATCAAGAACAACCTCCTACTTCTACAAACTTAGATTCATATGATCAATATAAATCCACGACAAATGATTCCGAGTATCAATCATTCTTAGCGGAACATGGAAGTGATGGCGCGGACTATAAATTTACCGCAAGATTTAATGCAAGAACCGGAAAGTTTCAACGTGATCCAACTTTGAATCCTGAAAAATTTTCTGCTGATGCAAAAGCAATTAGACAAATGTCTTATTTCTTTGATTATGATCAATTTGCTGAATCTAGAGGTTCTGCTGCTAATAAAAGACTTTCGTCAGATGCTTCATTAGACGATTCTATAAGAAGTCACAAGAAATTGAATAAAAAAGATATCGAGATGTTTAAACAAAAAAAGAAAGAGAAAAAAGAGATGAAGAAAAAATCTTGGTTACTTAGTGACGATTAATTTGTAATCGGTAGAAAATTCTTTTTTTTTTTTTTTTAAAATCTAATTTTCATTTTCATTTGATCGTTTTAGAATTTTTATTTTAAATAAAATTTTATTTTTTTAAAAAAAAAAAATTAAAAATTAAATAAATTGTCGAAAAAAGTGTGTATTATTATTATTGTTTAAATTTATTTTATTATTTATATGTGAATATAAAAAATTAAAGGAAAAAGATTTCTAACTTTTTTATAAATAACCACTCCTCTTTTTTTTGAATTTTTTTGTTTTGTTTTTTTAAAAAAAAATGTCTTTTATGTATATATTATTGTATTGTTTTTGCAAAATTCTATTAAATATGTCTTTCTTTTTTCCTCACACTCGATTCAAAATCAGCTTTATATCTCAATAGCTTTAATGAATATATATATATATATATATATATTTTTTTTTTTTTTTTTTTTTTTTAAACAAAATGGAAAAAAAAACATTTACAAAAAAAAAATAAAAAAGATAATTATATAAAGTGTATGCTAAAATATTTAAATTTGCAGTTTTGGAATTTTATAAAATGGATATTTGAAATATTTTTTTTTTATCAAAACAATAATGCATCAAGACCACCTTCAGCTGCTTGTTCTTTAACAAACATTTCAAAATATGAGTATATAATAGTGACAGCTAACAGTATACCAGTACCGGATCCAAGCGCACCTTTGAACAAATAAAGAATGAAAGATTAATTTTTTTCTTTTAAATAACTAATTCAAAAAAAAAGGCAATTCAAAAAATTTACCAAGTAAATCAGCAAGAACAGACAAAGCACCAATACAAGCACCTCCAAAAGCTGCGGCTGTAGGAATAACTCGTTTCAATTCTTTGTACATTGAGGCTTCACGATGTCCGGCCATAACCATACCCTGATCTTTAAGTTGTTTTGCGACATCACGTGGAGAAGATCCTGACACTTCAATCCAAGTCTTTGAGAAGAGAGCACATGCGGTTAACATGAATACAATATATAACGAAGTATGAATAGGATCTAAAAGAGCATCCGTGATACTATGTGGTGGTGACATAAAGTATGCGAGACCTCCGGACGCGTAATTTTGATTTGAACCTTCATGAGGAGTCCAAACACCGAGGATTCTGACCAGTAAATTATCCGGGAATCGATTGTATAACATTTGAGAGATAAGGAAGATGTTGGAGGTAAGAGCGGATTGTAACATGATAGGCATATTTGAAGTGTAAAAGAGTTTAATTGGATAAGTTCCAAATTGACCACGGTAACGACTTGATTTGACAGGAAGTTCAACACGGAAGCCTTGAAGATAAATCACGATGGCGAAAACAACCACGGTAGCCAATAAATTCATGACATTTGGTAAATTTGTTCGATAAAATGCTTCTTTCAAAGCACGTGATTTATCGGTACGGGTAAAGAGTAAATGGAACAATGCAATGATTGCACCTTCGAATTCAGGACCACGACCAGTATTAACAGTTGTAGGACTGAATGCTTTCCAAACGATGGATTCACAAATATTTGTAGCAATAAAAAGTGAGATGCCAGAACCAAGACCATATCCCTTTTGCAAAAGTTCATCCAAAAGCATAGAGATAAGACCAGCAACGACAAGTTGGATAATAAGCAATAAGCAAACACCAGCTCCAATTTCGGAGGGATTACCATACAACCCTGTCATTACGGACACTGTGGCTTGACCAAAGGCGAAGACCATGGCAAAAAGTTTCTGAGCACCACTGAATAATGCTCTATCTTCTTTCAAAGTGAAGTCAACTTCAATGAGATTAGCACCGGCCAAAAGTTGCATGATCATGCCCGAAGTTACAATGGGAGTAATACCAAGTTCCATCAATGTACCTCTGTTTGATGCGAGAATTACACGCAACCAGTACAAAGGATCTGAGGAATCAGAGGACATTATACCATAAAGTGGAATTTGGGAACACACTAAAAAAATGATAAGTGTGACACCTGTCCATAATATTTTGTGACGAAAAGGAACCTATAAATATAATGAATTTGGTCAATGGTTTCGCGTTTAAACGTTCCAATCCTTCCCAAAAAAATTAATATCCCAATTGATTGAATGATATAACTAGAAATACCTTTCGTTCTGGTGCCGTAACCTCCGGAAGTATGGCCATGAATGGCCTGATGAGATTTAGAAATCGGACTATTTTAAAGGTTTAATTTTGTGAGTAATCATTCAAATACGAGTTGAAATAATAAAAAATAAAGAACTAAATCTATACATACAACCCATTGGAGAAAGTTAAACCAAAAAAAAGCCCGAGGATTAAGGTTGCGTTGATATTTCCTTTTTTTTTTTTATGAAAAAAGATTTTATCGAAATATTTATAAGAAAAATTATTTAACATGTATGGGAATATCTAAATTGAGGACCAATCAAACTTATCCACGATTTGTTTATGCATGTTTCCCTATCACTATCAATAGAATGGTAGTAAATTGATGTAGTACATAATACTTATCAATTGATGATTTGTTCGCTACAATTAAAATAAGCCACCCGAATTTTTTTTTTTTTACATTTGCACTTCACGAAAAACGCAAAAGACACTTTTCCAAGATGCCAAGACCACAATCTGCTCAGATCCTTGCCAATCCTTCTAGTAGAGGGTATTCCGGAGGCTCAAACGGTGGTAGCGGAAACTTTTTTACTCGATTCCTTCGGGAGGAAATTTTTGCTCAGGATAAACGACAGGGAAACATTGATATTTTGGTTTCTATTGGAGTTTTTGGAGCAGCCATTGCTTTTATACAAAATTATGCAGAGGAATTATGCACTATCTAATCTCATAAATGTATGCTTTGAAAAAATTATATTTTCATTTTCATTTTTTTTTTTACTGAATTTTATTTAAAATTACCATCCATCTATAGAAAAGGGTTGAGATGCCTGTTCATCATTAAAATTCAAAACTTGTCTAATCATAATTCTATTATAATCATTCTGGAAATTTCATCATTTTAAATGTAATATCAATATTTTAAAAACAAATTCATTTCATGAGTTAAATCTGTTTTTACGGGGTAACACATCCATTGTTGAACTATAAAATAACTTACCTTTATAACTTTTACGATGCTTGTGGTACTAATAAAATAAATGCAAATCTTACATTAGGAAACCAAATAAAACTTGACACTTTAACGTATGGTAATAATAGTACATATACTAAATTGGAGCATGAATGTATAATTCCTTCGATTTTTCATCTCACAATAAGGTTTCTTATTATTAAAAACCTCTCGACAAATATGTATATTTCTATATAATTTAATTTTTACATTTTCTTACCACGTATGTGATACGTTATTTCCAATAAAAACAGAATATACTTCAATACCATGACTCGATGGTACAGTATATCAATTTCTTCTCCTCATCGATTTGACGTGTCTTTTTTCTGGAAATTTAAAGAATGCTGATCAAATTTATCTTGGTTGTTTATAAAACACATTTCAGCATCATCGTTTATCTGGGCTGCATTAGAGGAATAATGATGTTTTTAAAATCCACGTTTAAAATCAAGCTAGTAATGAAGCAGAAAATATTAAGAAAATGTTCAACTTTATAAATAGAAATTGCCTAAAATAATGGCAGTAGAGTTCTTCTACGTATAAATCAATTCAATTGTGAAGAGATATATCCGTTCACACCAATAGCAACTACCAATTTGTATTATAATCGGTTGCTCAAGATCTTTGCTCGTAATTTTGTAAATAGGATTATGAGGATCGATACATTTTTTCTAAACATGCTAGCTATCCAACTATTAGGGAATTTCCAAATATATTAATTAAGCATTTGACCTAATGATCAATGCGCCAAATTTCCCTTTTTTTTTTTAATTTCACGTTCGATCGGTAAGTTGGATTTTGTTTTTATCGGCCGATGTATCCTTTTTATGGAATTATCCACAATAACAAAAAAATTTCTTTTGTTTTTTTTATGATCCTTCAACCATAATAGATTAAATTATTATTTTATTGAGCAAATTCTGCGCCATGAATATGAATTGAGAAATGATATTTTTTTATACTCCGGAACTTTTAATTTTAGAAATTCCTTTTTTTCAAATAATAACCAATCATATGCTCAATTTGATCATAATAACATTTTGAAATTACAATTGAATTTCCTTATCAAACAACAAAACCTCAAACTGTTATTTAAAGAATTTGTTTTCTTTTTTTTTTTTTTTGTAAAAAAAAATAAGATTTTAATATATATATATATATCTTAAAAAAAAAAAAATTAAACGCATCAAATACGTACCAAACAATTCAATTTAACAAATTCAAATCATAATCATAATTAAAAATCAACATCATGGCAAAATTATCTTACACTTTTATCTTGATTTCTATGATTATTTTCGCCTTACAACCAACAAATGTTAATGCTGGTCTTATGCCTCAACCAAGACACATTGGTTCAATTATTCAAATAATTCATCTCCGTCCCACACCCTGTCAAATCACATGTAATCTCGCTTGTTTCTCTTGTCTCTCCTCCGCTATAATGATTACTGGTAAGCAATCTTAACTTGATTACTTTTATTATTTCGTTCAATAAGTTAAAATTGATTTATTCTTTTAGAAACCGCTGAAGATCCCTTTACTATCGGTTGTATGGTTGCCAAAAGTATTTGTATGGCAAGATGTTCTCCTATCTAGAGACACCATTTGATAATTTTTTTCTTCGATCATATCAAATGTAGTTCTGGTAAATTTAATTTAATTTTTAGCTTTTTTTTAACCCATAAAACAAAAAAAAAAACAAAAAATAAGAATTTCATCTTTCCTAAATGATTACACAGGATTCTATATATTTATAAATATATTATTAATATTCATTATATATACATTAGAATTATTTTTTTAGAATTATAATATACAAAATATTTATGAAATAAGTTTAGATGTTTTTTTCATTTTAAGCAAAAAACAAATAATGATTGTATGCGTTATTCAATAAACAAAAAAATATATTTTTTATATATATATTATTATTAACTTTGCTTGTTAAAAAATCATTATGATAAAAAAATATATTAGTAAATGAATTATAGGATGAAACGAAGGAACCGGATTTATCATATCCATAAGAATTTACATTTTATTCGGATAAATAAATCCGTATTCCTTCGTTTCATCCGGATATAATACAACTTGGTTCCTTCATTTATCAAATTCAGCTCATTTTAGTTTTTCATTAGAATTATTAAATACATTACCAATAATAATGAAAGGATAAATAAAGTTAGCGTCTACGCCATCAAAAATTCTTTTTACAGGGTCAGCTAAATTTAACATTTGAGTATTTTTGAAATACTGTATATAATTATTAAAAGAATTTAATATTATTTATAATAACTTAAGAGCACTTGATATTATTTTTATAACACTTTTCTTTTATTATACTATATACATTGTTCGTATATATAAACGCCAATAAATTCTAAACTAATTATTAAAGAAAAATGTGAAAATAATCATTATTACGTTTTAAAAACAACATTCGATTTACTAAATCGTGTTCTTTTTAAAGAAACATGATTACCTGCATCAGAAAAAAGACGTTCCAAGCTAATTTAGATAAATAGGATAGCTTGTTTTATGATCTCACAAGGGTCTGTAGTTTTTGATTCATTAGGACCATTAGGACATGTAAAATCTCATCATCTTCTATTAGTGTTAATAATTGATCATTTCTTCACATCTTTGCAAATATATCTCATCTTCCTAAAAAAATAATAGGTATAGTTTCTTCTTGAACCTCTTCTGGAAATTCAAAATCTTGTTTAAGTTGAATATACAAATATTCATTATGATCAGATTCTTCAGAAAATGTAAATTTTCATTCTAGAATTTATGTTGTTGCAATTAAAGATAATTCATTTAATACATTCTATAATTTTTCTTTAATATCTACTGGTGAAGATATTTAATTGATTTATGTCTTCTATTATATTCTTTGAAATTTAAAATACAAACGTGATTATAAACAAAATTACGAATATGATAATAGATATGATTACTTCTATAAGTATTTTCTTATTCCTATTCCTATCCTTAACTTCTTATTTATTATCTAAATTATTGATAAGTATATTGCCAATATCATTAATTTCCAGCAGTTGATAAATCATTATCATCACTAAAAGAACTTATATTAGCGAAAAGATTCAGATCATTGTAATTTATCTTTCAAACAAAAAAGTGATTCAAATAATAATGCATTCTAGAATTTTAAATGAGTTGAACCAAAATTTGAATCAAATGAATTAAGTTAAGTCAAAAAAAATTGTGACACAAATTCTTTCTTACCTTTTAAGTGCTTGTCTAACATATGCTAAACAAATTCAAATAAAGAATCTTCTATACCTATGTTAATGCAATACAAAATTTAGATAAATTACTTAACATAAAAATGATGGAGTAAATAAAAGAAATCCATATCATCAAAGATCATTTAAAGATCTATCACAAATAAATTTTATAAATGCTTTCAATTCTTATGCTAATAATCAAGATCCTAAGAGTTCTAGATTTTCTAAAAACCTAAATTTCACTTCTAACTAATAAAATACAATTGACACTTTCATTCATAATTCTTAGGATTCTGCAATTTGATTTGATATTTAAATATTTGATTTAATCAAATGCAAATCAAAGAATGATTTATTTAATCAAATCAAAATTAATCTTTAATTCAATTTGATTTGATCTAATTCAAATTGATTTAAATCAATTGTAAAGCTATTTCAAAGCTAGTCACATGTGACTTTATAATAAAATTATATTATAAAGTCACATGCACTGATTGAAACAGAAAAATTTAGCATATGACAAATCGGCCAAGTTTTGAGTTGTCTGGTAAGAGATTTCAGCTTAATTTCAAGAATCGACCAAAATTTGACATATACATTTAATAGTCAATCAGTTATCTCATGCCAAATTTTTGATTCGATAAAAAACATATTGTACTGATATTATGCCAAATTTTGATATTAGATGATTTGATAAAAACGCTATTATTCTGAATTTTTTAGTTAAAGGACTCAACGAAAACAATATAAACTTAAATTAAAACTTTATTTAATAAATGAAATTTTCAAATAAATTATTGTTTAATGCTATAAAAATTTATTATAGCAGTTTTAGCCAGTATTCAGAAATGACCTGATCATTTGACCATTCAAATGATTTGTCTATTTCTTTATCATAATCATAAATCATTTAGCATTTGTCATTTAGTCATTTGCTTTTACAAAAAATTTAGCGATACTCTTAAAGGTTTGCAAATTCTTAGCGAGTTTCGTAATTTTATCTTCCAATAATAAAAAATCATTTTAAATAAATGATTAAAAGCATCATTTCGATAGAACGATAGAAGAATTGTTCTAAAGGAACAATTAAATGCATCATTCTGATAAAATGATAGAAGAATCATTTTAAAGAAACGATTAAAAGCATCATTTCTCAAGAATGATAAAAGATCATTCTATCAGAATGATGAAAAAAATCATTTCTTAAGAACGATAAAAGATCGTTCTAAAAGGAACGATACAAAAAATCATTCCTTAAGAACGATACTACATCATTCTATCAGAACCATAAAAAAAATTATTTCTTAAGAACGATAAAAGATCGTTCTAAAGGAACGATACAAAAAATCATTTCAATAGGACGATAAAGATCGTTCTAAAGAAACGATACTATAAATCATCGTTCCTTAAGAACAATAAAAGGTTGTTTTAAAGGAACGATAAAAAAATTGTTTCA